CAAGAAATTTAATAACACTATTAACCTCCAGAAAGATACTGAAAATCTGAACACGATATATGATAAAATCGTTCGACTCACCTAGTTAGTTATATTTATTTTTATTTATTTGTTTCTCTGGTCCCCTTCTATATGTCATGACGGGAGGATCTTAGCAATGTCCCTTTGTTCTGTTCCAACTATTTAGTCTCTTGGTGACATGACACGTGCGAAGACGTATATTTCTATGTGCGATGACGATTAGCCTAAATTTATATTTTCCTGTAAGTTCTTCTTTTATAATTTATTATTTTATATTATGACTGAGAAATTTACTCGTAGTTCTTTTTATAATTTTTATAATTTATTACCGCTTTATATTTTATAATTTATTGTTTTACAAGTTGTTACCGTTTTATATTTGGACTAAGTAATTGATTTGTAGATGCTTCGTTGTCACAAGCTATAGGATCCACTTGAAAAGGACCAGTATTACTGGCCGAAACGTCGTGGTAAAATTTAAAATAAAACTGCCAGCCTTGGTCGATCTAATCCCAGAGTATTTTGTTTTAATTACTGGCGATACAACAATTCCAAACTTTGGAAAGAAGTTGTATTTCATTATGAAAGTATTTTTGTTGAGTTGCTTTTACCCAAAATGTTTTTGCATGTTCCAGTTCAACTGCAGTCAAAGGTGTGACTCCCAATGAATCACCTGTTCTCCTCAAGCGAGCAATTGCTCTTGAACATGTAGCAGTGATGCGTAGCAATCGCGTTAGATTGGAGTATTTATGAATTAGATTCCAGATATCGTGAAGATTATCCTTTACAATCGTGGCGACTTTATTGGGACGTTCTTCCAAATTTTCGTTAATCTTGGGCAATTGAATTTTGTCTGGCCATTCCTTCGAAGACTGAGAGAGCCATACTGGTCCATGCCACCATTCCGGAAGTAAAGAAAGTTGAGCTGGAGTAAGTCCTTGTGTGGCATAGTCCGCAGGATTTTGATTGCCGGGTACAAATTTCCAAACTGCTTGAGGGAGAGTTTCTTGAATGAAACAGACTCTGTTATGAACAAAATCTTTCCATTTAGAAGGATGGTTGTTTATCCAAGTGAATGAAACAGCAGAATCAGTCCAGAGAAAAATTGGAGTATCTTTGTTTTGGAAAACACGTATAACTTGTGCAACAAGTTTGGTAAGCAAGACAGCACCGCAGAGCTCAAGACGTGGGATAGTTGAACATTTTAAAGGTGCCACCTTTGTTTTAGCACAAAGCATTTTAACTGTTATTGTTTTGTCAGAAGTCGTAGCCTTTACGTATATGGTGGCAGCCATCGCGTGCTGCGATGCATCACAGAAACCATGAATTTCAATTGAATCAGTGAAAGTTATCCCAACCCAACGAGGGAAGATAAGGGAAGGCAAAGTTTGCAGTTGTTCAATAAAATTGTTCCACCTTTGAGATAATAATTCCGGCAATGGATCATCCCAACCAATTTTGATTGACCATAATTCCTGAACGAAAATTTTTGCTTTAATCATAACAGGAGATAGAAAACCAAGAGGATCAAACATTTTAGCAATAAAGGAGAGAATAGATCGCTTTGTTATAACATTACAAGGAGACAGCTTCAAAGTAAAACTAAATGCATCTGTAGTAGGATTCCAAACAAGTCCGAGAGCGTGGATAATTTGTTTCTCTTCAATGCTGACTGCAGATGAGCGGACTCGTCTTTCCAAAGGGATGTCGCAAAGTATCTCTGGTACATTGGTTTCCCATTTGTGTAGAGGGAAATTGCCGGCCATACATAGACCTTTCAACTGACGAACAATTTCTTGTGCTTGTTGAACCGAATCCGCCCCTCCGAATATATCATCCACGTATCTGCCTTTCATCATGGTAGGCACTGCAAGAGGATATGTTTTTCCTTCATCTTCAATTAATTGCAACAACGTACGTAGAGCTTGATAAGGTGCACAAGCTAATCCGTAAGTAACCGTGGTTAATTGGTAGGTAAGAATATTTCCAACTTGATCGTTCCACAAAATTCGTTGGAATTTCCAATCTTCTGGATGAATGTTTATTTGTTGATACATTTTTTCCATATCCGAGGAAAAAACATAAGGAAATTTGCGAAACCATAACAAAACATCAAATAATTCAGTTTGAAGTTTGGCTCCTTTATACAGTAGATCATTTAACGATAGACCAGTTGTAGTATTGCTTGATCCATTAAACACAACTCTAAGCTTGGTTGTTTTGCTATTTTCCCGTAAAACTCCATGATGAGGAAGATAGAAACAATGTTGTGGTTCTGAGCCTTGATCATCGACGGGTGTCATATGCTGCATCTTCTTGTATTCTTCCATAAAATCCGAATATAATTGAGAGTAGAGATTTTTAGATAATAACCTTTTGGAAAGACTAGTCATCACTCTTATAGCTTTAGTTTTTGAATCTCCTAATTTCTTAGTAGAAAATTTGAATGGCAATCTAAGTTGGTATCTTCCATTGGAATCACGAGAGTAAGTTTCCTTAAAATGTTTTTCACACATTTCTTCTTCAGCAGACAGACGGGCTGTAGTAATTTCAGGAACTGTGTTTAATTCCCAAAATCGATGAATTAAATCATACAATTTTTTATCCATGGAAACATGGTAGCTTTGTACCTCCGTAGAAGTGACGATAGGAGAAGAAGGACCGGAAATGATCCAACCCAATGTTGTACATTGTGCAAGAGGAGATCCTACTTCACCCTTCGAGATACCTTCTTTAATGATTTGACTGTAAAAGTCAGCATCAAGAATTAAATCAATTGAACCGGGTACATTATATTCCGGATCTGCGAGCTTTAATCCGCTCAAATGATTCCAAGACTTTGTTTGAGATTCCACTGAAGGTAGAGAAGTCGTGAGTTTTGGTCAAATGTGAGCATGAACAAGACCTTCGAAATTATCTTGGAAGTGAGGCTTTATTTTGAAAGAAACGAGTCCCTTCGTTTTCATTGAAGTTTTAGCTCCTATGCCGACTAGTGGAATGAAAAAGGCCTGTCTTGTGAGATGTAACCGTTGCACGAGCCTTTCAGTTATCAAGGATATTTCTGATCCTTGATCTATTAGAGCACGGGCTTTTACAATATATCCTTTCTGAGACTGGATAAGGACTTGAGCAGTTGCTAACAAAATGCAAGATGTAACCTTCAAAGCAGTTGTAGAATGTAGAACCGTTGAGCCAGAAGCAACAGGAGTTTTAGTGTTCGTATGGTCAGTATTTGGTTGCGTAGTATTAATTTTATCGCTCTGTTTACTGGCTGAATTATTGAATTTATTCAATTGATGAATAGTAGTATGGTGCTTATGCCCGCATTTTAAGCAACGTTTCGTAACACGGCAAGCCGAGGACCGATGAGATCCAAGACAATTGTAGCAGAGTTTATGTTTGGCAATGATTGACATTCGCTGTTGCACGGTTTTGGAGGAATACTTAGGACAGACTGCAACGTAATGATTCGCGGAGCAAATTGGACAAGTTTGATAACTGGTAGAATTCATTTCTTTAAATTTCCCAGAGAAATGCGTTTTAGCAGTAGTATGCTGTGAGCGTAGATCTGATTTTTTCGAGTGAGACTTTTCAAAGGCCTGAAGTGAAAGTAAACGAGTGACCTGAAAATCGCTGAATTGCTTCTATGAAGGAGGTTCCTTAGAAGAACCGAGGTGATGTTCCCAGGCTTTAACTGAATCTGCATCCAAGCGTTGAACTGCCATGAAAACCAGAAAGTCATCCCAATGTTGAACAGGACGTTGTAGCGTTTCCAGAGTTCGATAGATTTGCATTAAGTTCGTATATAACTGTTCCATTTCAGAAGAAGATTCCCTGGTCATTCGTTTAAGAGAGACAAGCGACTGCAATGCAGTATTCACAAGCAACCGTTTATTTTCGTAAAAGGAAATTAGAGCTTCCCAGGCCTTTTGAAAATTATCAGCAGTGAGAGCAGTATTTTTAAGCAAAGGAGCAGCTGATCCGATCAGACTCGTCTTTAAGTATTGCAACTTTTCGACCGATGTCAAACTCGGGTTTATTAAGACAAGAGAATTGAATAAGTCTTTGAATGATAACCAGTTAGCTGAAGTTCCGTCAAATTTAGGCAAATCAATGCGGGGTAACCGCGCATGATGGAAATATGTGGGAATACTCGCAGTCTGGGTACCAGACTGTGTAGAAGAAGAACTGTTTATGGGCTCTTGTTCCGGTTCCAAAAAAGTATTCATACGTTCAATAGCTTCTAAATGTTTTTCATGTGTCATAGAATATAAATTATTAACAAAATATGGGCGTCTCTGTATTTCAGATCGCTCCGATCCTGCTAATTCTCTGATGGCTATATTAATCGCTTGGTGTTGTAATGAAAACTGTTCCCAATTTTCTTTAAGAGCGGCAATACGCGCGTTTACGCGTTGAGATGTGACATTCAATTCTCCGACCTTCAACAAATTATCAACCGCAGTTTCAATTAAATCAGCCAAAGTATGTTGATGCTCTATGTGAGCCTTTACGTGACTGAGTCTCATCCTGCCGACCGAACACCGTATCCGGCTCGAAGGACCAAAAAATGATGTTAGATAGTTACACAAAATTTATTGCAATACAAGAGGTAATGGATTATTTTGTGATGATACTGATGTTCGAACGAAGGACGCGTAAGGTCTTAATTTCTGCGTTAAGTTAAAAATTAAATTAATATTAAATTCTATTATTTCAGAATTTCAAAACGATTTATGCGATTATTATTTAACTCGAGAAAATAAATAACCTAAAAATATTTAACTCTTTTCACAATGTTTGTAATATAGAACGAAGTAATTTTAATGAGAAAGAAATTAGGGGCTAATCATACAACACCAACAATAAAACGACATGGATATCTTAAGCAGAGAGATTAATTAAATTGTTAAATGAAGGTGCAGCCAATCAAAAAGGATGGCGCAAGCATTTAAAAAAGAACAATTAACTGGAAACACAAACACATATATTTTTAACAGGTATATTATCATTGATCAATATTTTTGAAGATCGGATAATAAAGTGAATGACGCATTTACAAAATAACGTTAAAATTCTTTGAATGAACGCTATTCAGTATTAAGTAGAATTAATTTTATCCGTAACAATTGATAACTGAAAATAACTTAATTTAACGGAAAGTATGAGCTTAGTACAACACCAAAATTACAAAAGTATGTGAAATTATAACTCAATGTGGTTAACGTATATTAATTCTGATAAAGAAGAAGCACTAGCGACAAAGCGCTTTATCCGATCTTTTCGGAAACAAGTAAAAGTAAGTGAGTGGCTGATGCACATTAATTCTGGTACAGAATAAGCAATAGCGGCTATGCGCCTTATCCGAGCTTGTCGGAACAACGTAAGAGCGAGAAAGCTATATCCACGTATGGATACGACTCCAAAGAGTCTGTATTTGCGCGTACGCTTATTCTGGCCAACCAGAAAGGAATAGACGAAAGGTACTTATCGGTTTGTAGTCTATCTAGGAGTATTCCAATTATCGAAAGTATTTCGAGTATGCAAAGGTCCAACAGCGGGAATCCTCTCAGAGTACTTCCAAAGGTTGCTATGATTTGTGGCCGAAAGGCCGCCCGCCTTAACGATATCAATGAATGTCCTTGGAAAAGGCCGCCCGCCGTAGCGATATCGGCAAATGTCCTTGGTCAACGCAATTCCTTCGTATCAATATATTCGATATTTCGAAACTCTTTCAAGAATTAATTTGCACCCTTCCGGAACGAACTGAGTTTACAGATATTACTTTTAACAAGCAAAGAATTTGTGATCGAGAGGCACTGAGAAACGACTATTCACTTGGGATAGCAGAGACGAAGTGAAGAAGCGAAGCCGTGGACAAAGGTGTAAAGGCATAGTCTCGTTCTTTTCTTTTTGTTTTAGTAACCGATCGATATCGTTAACGCGAAATCACGGGGTTGCCGTGAGCTTGTTGCTACGCACGACTTTTGTCAATCGTTCATATCTGAACGCCTCAACCCCGAACCCACGATCCGCGCGCCCTGTCTCACTTCTTCACTAACATTTCAAACAGTATTTAAAAAAGAAGTAATTATATAATTACATCTCTTTCTGTGCTCGAAAGTTGGCTAATTTCACTCTTTCTATTAACTCCTTTTTCTCTAAAATTAATTTCTCACGAGTCAGTTTATTAATAAACTCCTCACGTTCTGTCCACTGACTTATTTCTATTTCGTGTTTAATTTTAATCTCCGCAATTTCCATTTCCTTTTGTCTTATGTACGACTTGTCCAACTTCATTATTTTTGCCGAATTTGGAGATTCTTTAGATCTTGTTTGCAAGATTCGTTTCCTTTTTCTTTCGTCTACTGGAAAATAAAATTGTAACTTGTGTAAAAATATAATATGTACTATATATTACATATTTCTTTGGTTTAACTTTTTTTTAAAGAAATTTT